TCGACGGGGGTGGGGGGGGGGGGGGGACGTGAAAGATGAATAAGCCAAGAAAAGGAACCTGCAGAATTCTGTTGAAATTTGGTTTCACTTGCTACTTCCTAGGGAAGCCGTAGTTGAGAAGGAAGGAATAAAGAAAGAGAAAAAAAGAAAGAAAAAAAAAGAAGCGAGTGTGCACATGTTCACTGTATTTCATAATTAATATTGCTTTTAGCCTGAGCAGAGCTGGATTACTTTTGAACTTTGCTTTGGCAAGTCCACAGATTATTAGACTTTTTTTATCAGTCAAAATCAATTAACAGAAATTTGATTTCAATCGACAGGATAAAAGGAAGGTAATCTTCAGGTTCATTTTTGATTGTGATGATACATCTCACATATGGCCTTAAGTACAGAAAACAGTCCTCGGAGGGACTCCGGCAGAAAGAGAAGTGCCGCAGGCAAACTAACCACACGAGTTCCTCTGATTGGTTACCGCCGTCATTAGTGCCACTGCTGTTTAGGAGCTACACACAGACAGGACATGGTGACAGCTAAGACTTTAAAGCCTATGTATTTTTCAAACAGCTTTTCAAACTGTTTTTCATGACAGAATTTTTTCAGCTCTATCATTAACTGCTGACAAGCTGACAGAATAAATACTCCAGCCTTTAAGAAGCCATCTAACGATCTGGCTCCCCTCCCCCGCATGGTGCTTACTGAGGAGGGAAGGCTGTGGGCCTGGGCCAGGTGGGGAGCCAGCCAAGAGAGGAGAGGAGGGAGCTAGAGAGGAAAGCCATGGGCCACGGGCCCCTCTCCTTACCTCATCAGCTTAGGTGAGGAGTTGGGTGAGTTCCGCATGCCTCCATTCCGTTGCTTTTTTTTTGGTGATAGCGTTGACGGCTGCTCATCTTCAACTGGAAATACAGGCAGCTCATGAGATTATGAACAGTTTGAGGGCAGACTGTGAAATACAGGCAAAATATCAAAGGACACACACTCAAGGCTCAGTCACTCACTAGAAATTCATGGCTGCTTTTTTTAGGACCCGGTGACAAAGACCAAATATGTTAGTTAGGCCGGCTTAGAGAAGGTGAAAGCATCACCCCTTGACACACCAGCCTTCGAACATGCACTTTAAACAGACTAAAACAATTTGTAAACACCCTGCCATAAGAAAAAAAGAAAAGAAAAAGAAAAAAAAAAAAGAAATCATGATTTATTTGTATACACAAATATATATAAACAGTTGAGCATTATTATTAGAGTTAATTTTGGTTACTTTGCTTTGCTGGGTAACTGAGTAAGTTTTCTGGTAACCAAAATCAGAAAGTTGTGTTTGAAATAGCGGCATAACAACTGTCAGCCTGCTGCTTCTCCAGATGAACCAACTTAACTGGCTCCTGATCCCTGCATGCCAGAGAAAGAGCCTTGAAAACAGGCAAGGATTCAAGGCCTTCAGAGCCAATGTCTCAGTCAGTCAGGACTGGGAACATTGGTGTGTACGGGCTCAGGAATCCCCAGGCCAACTCAGCTCTTATCTCTCCAACTGCCAGAAGAAGGAGCACATGGGAATGTGTCCTTTCTGAACTCACTGAGACAGAAGGACTCGAGCTGGCGAGGTTGGAGAGCTGGGCTGGAGGACTGTACCCGAATGAAGGAGGAGGTTGCCATTGAATGATATCTCTGATGATGCGGTGGGGGCAGGGATAGACAGCAATGGAGGGGATTGGAAACCAAAGGCTGTTTTCCGGATGTCTAAACCACACCCGATCGCGAAGCAATGTGAAGCTTCACTCACAAACAACACAGCACACTCTACTGCTTTTGCCCAAAGACACCCTCTAATAAGCTTTGCCGATGCATTAGCCTGCATCATGCTTCTTTTTAAGAAAGCTGCTTGTAATTAGCAGATGCGTACCCAGCCTGTCACCCAAGGGCATCAGCAGCAAAATTCCAGCCCTTCTCTCCCCACCCCCACAATTCAGGCTAAAGCTGTAACATCAAGAAGGAAAAAATAGGATCCTCCAATTCTTATAGTTGACTGCAACACAGACTAGGAGGAAATACCCCGGAAACTCAGAACGCACGGCAGTTACCTTAAAGCTAAGAAAAGAAATATTAGCAATGACAACACTCAAAGAAGCTTGATATATGTTAATGGTACATGAGTCTTAGATAGGGGAGAAAGGCCATCTTAGCTATTTGATATTATCCAGGAAGACCCATATCAGAGCATGCATTATGTGGTACTTTCCTGGACACCCTAAATACATTTAGTAGGTTATGATACATGGTTCCAAAGGAATTAACAATAATACAACTACCCTCCAAGTCTGCTTCAAAGTATCACACTTTTTACACTTCCTTTTTCTACTATCAATCTGGAGTTGTCTAAATTCCAGGGGAAGGGAAAAAGAACGTGGGAGGTGAGGGTAATACCAGAAGAAATAAAGACAAAAAAGCACCTGTGAATGCACAGTCCGCTCACTCCACCTCCTGCCCCCTGCCCCCATGCTCAAGCTGTGACCGTATCAGTCACTTAATGCTCCAGGCAGGGACTATGTGGCTGGGAGGATATCGTATCTTATCAGGAATGAGTATCCACAGCAAATCACACAGAGACTAAACAGCACTTAAAAGATTAAAGGAAATAAATACGAGCCACATAAATGGTATTGAAAAAAATCACTTGGAGTTGATACGCATCTCTCGGCAAGCAAACAGGCACTCTGCCTTGACCTGAATTCATCTTCCTTTCACAGGATAGGGGACCAGGCAGCCAAGGCAATAATGGGGTAGAAAGGCCGTGTGGGTGTGTGTGCGTGCACGCATAAGGATATTTTCGTGCTTTCCCCATTTTAGAAAGATTAAGGGCACTGACTACGCCCTTAATACAAGGTCACCTCTTCATATGGATCACTTGGAACTGTGGTATTGCATTCAGATGACCTACATTACTTGTGTAGCATGGAATCAGTAGCACGTATGTATCTGTATGCATGCGTGTAAGTCTAGTAAGGTGCAAGTTCTGCTCTTCTCTTTCACACAGTCTTCAAAAGGTTATTAGTGCAATATCCAAAAAGCATTTTTTATTTTAACCTAATTTACGACAGCTAACATTATTCAAGGCATCAAATGTTACCATGGGTATGTCCAATTAAATATACTGTAAGTCATGCTCACTGGCATTTCTGTTGGATTCTTTACTGAACTCTTGCCTCCCCATTTGCACTGGGCCTACGATAAATAACCCTCTTTGGTTAAGAGTCCATTATCCTTACACCTTGTTGCTGGCTATTTACCTGCACTGATCTTCAGATGGGAGACTTGCAAGTTAATACCTGTTAGCCAGCTCTGGGGAGACACTTCATTTTGGTAGTTTCCATGCAAGGAAACTATTTATTTTCATTGCAATTCAGAAAGATCATCCATCATAATCATACTACATTTAAACTGGAATTTGTCCTCTTAAATGAAACTTGTGTTCAAAGGTTTCCGTCTGCACTCACGCCTGGAAATGCAGATCTGTTCCCTGAAGGGAAGGGGGAAAATGTCTCAGCTTAAATATATGAATGCTGTGTAATGGAGACCATTACATATGGCTTAGGTCCCACAAGGGAAGCTGTGATTACTTCTCTCTCCTAAGTAGGATATAAACCATATTTAATTATTATCCTTTCTATGGATTTTATCAATTTCTGCATATTTAAAGAAAGCAGATCTACGAAAACTTTTCGCTAAGCTATAAAATATCATTCTCATTTCATGGCTTCTGTGACTACACGACAGGAATAAAAATGGAATGAAAAAAGAGACTTAAATTTACTCATTTTCATGAAAGACAAATGTTTTGAAGTAATGGGCCACCACCTTGTGACAAGGCACATTTACAGGCTCATATTTAACCTACGTTTGGCTAATTGCGACACACCTCTGTCTCTAGCAGTTTCACTTCCCTTCATGCTGTGGAGGCCGCATGAAGATCTAATGCTTTAAAGAAACCTGACTTATCAGCTTCTTTAAAACACAAACAAGTTCAGGAATCTAACATGGAATTTTTATAGGAGCTGAACTCCATCCAGTCTCCAAGTACTCATAAAATTCAAGGGCTTGTTTTTGCACATCCCTAAGTATAACACTTAATGTGCTGCTGTAACTTCCCAGCGCTCCCTTGTCTAATAGGCACTGAATCTAACAGTTTTACAGTTTGGGAAGACTCAGTGCTAGAAAAATGTCAGGCAAGTCTAATGAGGCTTCAGATCCCCTGGTTTGCGCTAGAGTTTAATTTAAAGTTACAATGATGTTTTAACATGTTTGCTTATACTTGACTAAAGAGGATTCATTATTTCAATGACATAACCTCCAGACAATGTTCTGGGAATTGATTTAAGATGTGGTGGTAATTCCAACAGCCTCAATGCAGAGTTGAACATCTGTAACAACATTTTACTCAACTTTTCATCAGCATTCTGTTTTCAAGCAAAAGCAAAGCAACGTCTTCCAGAAACACTGGCCAGAACTCTGGGCTTACTTCAAAATGATCATATATTTTACTAGATTTTTTTTTTCCTGAGGAAATCTCTTCCTTTATCAGCCTAGCCAGGTTGCCAATACTGTGTCAGGGCTCACCCATGCCTCTTTATGGGTCCTTGGAGTGAAATGGGGCAACTAACCCAATGTTCAGCTTTCCCAAATAGCCCACTGCCTGCGTGTGATGAACCCAACACTCAGCTCCAGCCTGGGGCACATTCCCTCTTCCCTGTTTTCCTGAGATTTAGGGGGATGACACCCCCTGAGACTTAAAGGTGAGTGTGCTGGCTGGAGTTGAAAAACAGTTCAAAGCCAATAAACTCAGAAATGTAATAAAAGGCAAACAACCCATAAACATGAGTCAACCAGCTATCTCCATTACGTTATTAATCACCACATCTGGAGAAACCCACATCTGTACACACTTAGCAGGTCATTAGTAATGTCATATTCACACTGGAATCACTCAGAGTAAGAGTCATGCAAAGTGGTTTGAACACAAAGGCATCGAGCTAACAGGGCTTCCGAAGGAAGTCTTGAGCAAGTTGCTAGTTTGGGAGTAGGGTTGTTTTAATTATTATTTATTGTTTTTATGGTTCTTCTTTTTAGTATTTTGCTGCCTGACAAGCTAAATGCATGCTGAAATCCAGAGTAGTACAGCTCTCTTCTTCAACTGAGCTCCGTATGTTAAAGTAGAACATTGAAGGGTGCAGGGCAGTTATTAAAAATTGGGATGGGTCCCAGTACTCCTTCACCTGGCTCGATCACAAGCCGAGAATTGGGAGTTGCATTCTTGAACTCAAATGGGTCTTTGGGATAGCGTGATCTAGCTGCCAAACAATAAGGAGAAAAGAAAATGGAAGTTAATCCTTAGTGAAATTTTTTTTGTGTTAGAAAAGTTCCAAACCAAACCAATTTCGACATGGAATAGGATCATAGCTTGGAATTAAAATGGAAGTTTTTCTTTCACAGCTGAATTGCAGGGTTCCCCCCACCCCTTTCTTTTACCCTGATAACTTCCTGAAATTCTTTTGGCTGTGTTGTCATTGATGTCAGTGGGGATCGTATCTGTGGAAATTCAGAAGACAATCTTCTTTGTGCAGTAATTTCCAAAAATACAGAGTTGTCCTCGCTCCCCCACAACATACACAGACAAAGAAAACCCAGTTTAACAGCAGGATCAGCCCCATTATCTCCTGAAGCCTGCTAAAAGGAATCCTGCTG